AAGAGTTTGACCAAGGGAATGACTGCCTTTAGGATACTTGGTCTAGGGAGGGTTCACTGCCTGAATAACAGAATGTTCTTCTCAATGATTGAGGACTTGATGGCTCAAAGTATTGAAGCAAGTAACTGTTCTAGTTGTCTTTTGCATTGTGTTAAAGCAGTCTTTTGTTCTTTCCCCTGATGTATTGGGGCAGGAGAGAGGGCTCGGTGATTAAGAGCACTACCAGCTCATCTGAAGGTCCTGAGTTCAATTCCCAGCAACCACATGGTGGGTTACATCCATCTGTAATGAGATCTGGTGCCTTTTTCTGGCCTGCAGGCATGCATGTAGGCAGAATACTGTTTGCAGAATGAATAAATCTTTTTTTAAAAAAAGTATATGAAAAACTATACACAGGCAGATTTACAGTATTTACTGGAACTCCCTCCTGGTACTATCCTATGCTTCCGTTTTATTATTTTCATTCTAATCCCCATTCCCCCAAGCTGGTAAGTGGTATTCTTCTCAATGATGGTCCCTGACAATTGATGACTATTGCGAAGTCCAGCTATACATGAGGCTGTGTTCCAGTCCGAATTCTTCCCCTAAAAGATGTAGCAATACTGCTACCCTATAAAATAAAGCCATCACAGCTGGGACATGCTTCACTCTGCTAAGAGAGCTTCAAAGCAGAGACATCCATTGCTGTTCTGTTCCACTTCCCTAAGGGAGTTTCCTAGCAGAGTTGTCCAGTTGCTTCTCTGTTCCACCCGATTAGGGAGTTTCCTAAAAGCAATGTCATTTTTTTTTTTTCTCAGCTTCAGCCCAATTTGTTACTTCGCAGCTTCACTGGAGTTGATGGGAAACTGTTGCAGAAATGTTGCAGTCTCGGGTGGAGAGTTGCTACTTCTGCTCTGCTCCTTTAAGGGGTTTGCCAGCAGAGGTGACCAAAACTTCTCTGTTCAAATACACTGCAAAGTTTCTGATCGCTCCAGAGAAAGGTCTTCACCCAAAACTCATTCAAGAAATTTATTTGGAAGTGAAGAATCAGAAGGACTGCCTAGGCCAGGGCAGAAATGGGCAGATGCCAACTGAACATGTAAAGAACTTATACAGGAATGCTTAGGGGCAGAGATTTCCCAGGGAGAAGATTCTCAGGGTGGGAATTGTTTAGATGTCAATCCCTGACCTTGAACACAGCAGAGGTTGGCTGGATTTCATGCTCAGGTGTTGGTAGATCTGAAGCTTAGGGATTAGCTGGTTTAGTGCTCAGGTGGTCAAGGGTAAAATTATTTTTGGATCTTGTTTCAGGGCCAAAGTGTGTTCTTTCACTGGCCCCTTATAACCTTTTGAGACTGGTTTCAGGGTCAGGTGTTTCTTTTATTGGCTTCTGGATTCAGGAACTAAGTGTGTTTCTTTGTCTTGGTCTTAGAGTCAAAATGTATTTCTCTGGCTATAGTTTCAGAGTCAAAATTATATATTTAACTGGCTCTGGTTCAGGGTCAGGATGTATTTCTTGGCTGGCCCACTTACCCTACAGATAGGGCTTGATAAATCCATAAATTCATTTTAACATGAGTTTTTAAGTACAAATAGTATAAAAAGGACATCATAATGCTAGAAAAGATTGTTAACACTGTCAAATTTATTTCTACGGAACAAATAGTCTTGTGTTGTAGGCAGAAGAATCTTGTTCATTCCTGGCTGTACAGACTCAAAATAATCACACAGAAACTATAGTAATTAACAGTGCTTGGACTATTGGCTTAGGATTCTTATTAACTAATACTGACATCTTAAATTACCCCATTCCTATTATTTTGTATTTTATCACAAGACTTGTGATTTACCAGTAAGTTTCCAGGGCATCTGCCTTCCTTCAGCAGATACATGGAGTCTGACTCCACTTTTTTTTTCTCCTCTATCTCGGCTTGGAATTCCTGCCTTGCTCTATTCTGCCCTGCTATAGGACCAAAGCAGCTTCTTTAATAAACAATGGTAACAAAATATATTCACAGCATACAGAAGGGAAACTCAAATCACTGTGTAGGTGATTATAAGTGTTTTGACTGAAGATCTTACCAAATACTTTATAATAAGAAGTCCTCAGTATCTTTTTCAGCTAGCCAATGTCTATTGTAATATACAAAGATTTTAAAAGATTGTTGCACACAAAAAGTTTTATTCCTATATAAAGTACAAAACTTTATATTCACACTGAATACATTCAAAGGGTTTCTATGCAATATTTTTCTCATGACTCACATTATACATACATGCAAATGCTTTACCATACTGATGACATTCATAGAGTTTATCTTCACTGTGTGATCTTTTATGCACTTGAAGATACTTGTCAAGTGCAACGGCTTTACCACACTCATTACATTCATAGAGTATCTCCAACATGTGTTAGTTCATGTTTTTAAAGCCTTTAGCACAATAATTACATACGTAATGTTTCTATCCAGTATGGGTTCTCTTATGTTTTCAGAGATCACTGTACATACAAAGGTTTTACCACATTGATTATATTCATAGGGTTTCTCTCCAGTATCTGTTCTTTCATGTGTATGGAGACTAATGTGACAAAGGCTTTACCACACTGATTACATTTAAAGGGTTTGGTCTCCAATATGGCTACTTTCACGACGTTGTAGATGAATGTGCTTTGCAAAGGCTTCACCACACTGATTACATTCATAGGGTTTCTTTATAGTATGGGTTCGTTTATGTCTTTGGAGATTACTTTGATCTACAAAGGCTTTGCCACATCGATTACATACATAGGGTTTCTCTCCAGTATGGGTTCTTTTATGCTTTCGGAGAGTACTGGGATATGCAAAGGCTTTGCCACACTGATTACATTCATAGAGTTTCTCTCCAGTATGGGTTCTTTCATGATCTTGGAGACTACGGGATCTTGCGAAAGCTTTACGACACTGATTACATTCATAGGGTTTCTCTCCAGTATGGGTTCTTTTATGCTTTCGGAGAGTACTGAAACATGCAAAGGCTCTACCACACTGATTACATTCATAAGGTTTCTCTCCAGTATGGCTTCTTTCATGACTTTGAAGATTGTCTTGCCGTGCGAAGGCTTTACCACACTGATTGCATTCATAGGGTTTCTCACCAGTATGGGTTCTTTCATGAGTTTGGAGATTATGGGAATATGTGAAAGCTTTACCACACTGATTGCATTCATAGGGTTTCTCTCCAGTATGGCTTCTTTTATGCTTTCGGAGATAATTGTGACATGCAAAGGCTTTACCACAGTGATTACATTCATACGGTTTCTCTCCAGAATGGCTTCTTTCATGAGATTGAAGATGGTCTTGCCGTGCGAAGGCTTTACCACACTGATTACATTTATAGGGTTTCTCCCCAGTATGGGTTCTTAAATGAGTTTTAAGATGGCCTTTCCGTGTGAAGGCTTTACCACACTGATTACATTCATAGGGTTTCTCTCCAGTATGGGTTCGTTCATGAATTTGAAGATGAATGTGTTGTGCGAAGACTTTACCACACTGATTACATTTACAGGGCTTATCTCCAGTGCGTAATCTTTTATGTTTTTGAAGAATACTGTGAAATGCAAAGGCTTTACCACATTGATTATATTCATACGGCTTCTCTCCAGTATGTGTTCTTTTATGCATTTGAAGAGTATGGTGACATGCACAGGTTTTACAACACTTATTATATTCATAGTGTTTCTCTCCAGTGTATGATCTTTTATGCATCTGAAGATGACTGTGATATGAAAAAGTTTTCCCATACTTATTTTCTTCATAGGGTTTCAATATAGTGTGTGGGTTTTCATGCCTGTGAAGACAACATGCAAAGGCTTTAAGACAATGAGTATATGCAGAAATTTTGACTTTTTTCATGCCTACAATGATAATGGTACATGTGAAAGCATTACTACATTTAATACACTGTTGAATATTTTTATCTGTATAAATTAATTTTACAATGTAGTCCATTTTAAAGAAGAATTATATGTTAAAGTTTTATCACCATGTTTACAATCTTGTTTTTCCTTTTCATTAAGGCTTGCTTTTCATCTGTGAGGATAACTGATAACAGCCTTTATTACATGGTTCACATTTCCAGAATCTTATTTTCTGTATGAGAATTTTCACATATTTGAAAAGAACTGAAAAACCTCAGAGCTTTACTACTCTTCCTGCATTCTTAATGTTTCCTATACTGTGAGTGAAATTACATTTGCTAAGTGTACTAGGACAAACAGAAGTTTTTACACAGTCCTAGTACTCATGGTGCTTTTCTGAAATGTGAGCTTATTGATATATTAACAATGAGACTAGAAAAACAATGACTTGAATACCTGTACATCAAATTCAACCAGTATACTCAACATGGGGACTGCTATATATCTTCCATTTGTTCTAAGAGAGAGGTATGTTATATTTTTTCACTTCACTATGTTCATGTGGCTTGTATCCAGAGGAACATATGATATACTTAATAAAGGAAGAATAACAAATATCAAGCTTCCACACTGAGTTCACAGTTTGACTTTCTGTCCTCATAGACTTGTGGTATCTGGATTAAGGCCTCTCCACGACAGCTGCCCCTTGATTTGTGACTCTAACTTCCCCCTCACTAAACTTAACACAGTCACAAGTATATGGGATAAAGTACCTTTTCTATGGAATATTAATGTAATAGAGAGTTTCAGAGATATACTTATCATGTTTTCAACATGTATCTTTTATAATATGAATAATATGAAATAAATGCACTGACAATTTTACAGTATAGCTCTCATTGTATTATGATTGAAATGGAAATATAGGTTAAGGCATCATTTCCTTACTTCTTTCTTAAAAGAATGACTTGCAAATGCAGTTCAGAAATATGAAATTAAAGTATATGATTTTGTGATAATTTTAATAACCATCATTGCACTTTATTACATTGTTGTTTTGGTTGAAAACATAAAGGATACATTATAAATTCTTCAGGGGTAGATTTGTATGAGCGTATACATGGAAATTACCTTTCATGTCTTCTAGAACTTTGACAATGTTCTTCAATATTATAGTCTTCCCAATTATATCCTAAAATATAGTGACAGATAAATGTATGATATATATTAAAAATCATAAAAAATTTTGTTACCATATAAGTAAAACTTAAAACCATACCTGATTTCTTTACCCATTCTTCCTTCTCAATCATATTACAAAAGAACATCACTAACCAATCAACACTTGTCCCCTTATTTGAAACATGAAAGATAATTTAGTCTTACCTATAGTAGTGAGGTTTCTGTAGGTCTCTACCATCACATCTTTGTAAAGACTCTTCTGGGAAGGATTCAGCAAAGTCCATTCTTCCCAAGTGAAGTCAACATGCACGTCATCATAGGTCACTGCATTCTAAAATATCCCATACATGTGTACAACAGAAAGTATGATGTGACAACACTGTAAATGTGTACTTTTTTGCCAGTATAGTCATATAAATCTGGTGCTCCCCATACTTATTCCATGACATAGACATCATAATTTAATCACCAAGTCACTTTAGAAGCAAACTGATCCCGAAGGTCACCATTGTCATTTCTGAACCATTTGACTGGGATATCACCTTTCAAAAGAAATGCCTACTACCCAACAATGAAAGATACATAAACAGATCAACAGTACAGAGTACAGATAAGAGATATTGTATGAATGATTAATTTCTGACTACAAAAAAAGAAACATAAGATGAAAAAGCTGGATGCATTGAATCATTCCTCTAATCCTTTACTTAGAAGGCCGAGGCATGAATATTTATCTGCCTCTGAGTTGAATACCAGCGTATTCTATGCAATCACTTTTAGGGCAGCCAAAAATACATGTTAAATACCTCTTTCACATGATAAAAGTCAATCAAACAAACATAAAAGTTAGGAATAACTCACAGGTTTTTGCTGAAGTTTCTACAAAAGTTAGGCATTCACATCAACTCTTTATTCATTACCAGAAACCTGAAGTGCCCCAATTTAAACTGCAACATAAATAAGTTTTGACTAAAAGGCACTGTGTATTTAAAAAGTTATAAATAGACAAATGAAAACAATAGCAATTAATATGCTGATTACAAATAATCAACACAGAGCAGGAAAGATGGCTCAACAGTAAAAAGTCCTCCTGGTCTTGCGTACCAATGCCTTCCATGGGGGATAATAACTATTCATTATTCCAAGTTCAATGTTTCTAGTACCATCTTTTGATCAATGTAAGGAAGGACCAGGTACTCACATGGTGCATAACCATGATACATGTAAAATACCCTTTTTAAGATAAAAATTCAAAACAAACAAAACAGACAGAAAGAAGGTTATGCACCTGCAATCCAATGACTCAGAAGGCACAGGTAGTATTAATGTCATGAACACATGCCATCCAGGGAAACATAATGATACCCTGTGTAAAATTTAAAATTTATGATATGGGTGAAGTTCACTACAATAGCGTATGCTTGATAAAAACAATATAAAAACAAAAAAGTCAGGAATGCTGGCCCACCTTTAATCTCAGCACTATGGAGTCAGAGTTAAGAGGTACTCTGAGTTTGAAGCCAAACTGGTATATAGAGCTACATTCAGGACAGCTAGGGCTACACAAAACATGTCTTCAAAAATAAATCAACAAAAATAAAAACAGTAGGCTACCAAACCACCTTAGCACCAAACAGCAGCTAGTTCTACTAAACCTTATGTGATTTACTGATAGAGTTTATGATGGTGGGGAAGTAATGATAGAAAGCTGACTGATTAGTTTCAACCACAACTCAGTAGGCACAAAGAACAGAAAATGGGTTGAGGCTATAGAAACTCATATTGTGGGATTCCAATCTGTATGCTGTGATTATCATCGGTTAATAAAGAAACTGCTTTGGGCCTATAACAGAGTTATAGGACAACTCTTAGGTGGGTTGGGAAAACTAAGCTGAATGTTGGGAGAAAGAAGGAGGAGTCAAGAGAAAAGTCATGTAGCCCTGCAGAAGACAGATGCTGAGAACTTTATCATGTAAGTTATACCCACATTGCAATACACAGATTAATAGAAATTGATTAAAATAACATGTAAGAGTTAGCCAATAAGTAGCTAGAGCCAATGAGCTAAGCAGTGATTTAATTAATACAGACTCTGTGTGATTGTTTTCAGGCTGAGCAGCTGGGAACTAACAAGCAGTTTCCCATAATAAACAGACCACGCAGCCAACTAAAATCCACTTACAATCTTAGAGAGCTTGGAAAGGAATTCTAGACACTAAAAAATGAAGTTTAGCTACATTTCTCTCCCCAAATGGGCTTTGCTTACTGGTGACATGCTTTGGCACATTTAAGAGAGGTTTTCCTGATTTAGACGTAGCAGAAAAAAAGCTGCAGCATTTTGAAATGCCGGCTTTCTGGGCTGAGCTGACAGCACGAACTCTGACTCTTTCTGGAGGACCAGTTATGGGGTCTGTGAGAGGATTGCTAATGGCAACTTAGTCTCTGTGAATGCCTGAAAATGGGGCAATGTACATGGCTCTCGAGGCAGCAAATGTGCCTCTGCCATCTTGGACTGTGGTGGAGCAAGCAGGCAGGACATATTTTCTCTACGCATGGCACAGCTTAAGTTCATAAGTTTTTCTTTTTTGAGACAGGGTTTCTCTGTGGTTTTGCAGCCTGTCCTGGAACTAGCTCTTGTAGACCAGGCTCGAACTCACAGAGATCCGCCTGCCTCTGCCTCCCAAGTGCTGGGATTAAAGGCGTGCGCCACCACCGCCCGGCTACAGTTACTCTTGATGTAGTGACCTCCCCACCTATAAAATTATTTATACTACTACTTCATAACTGTATTTTTGCTACTGTTATTAATTATAACACAAATATCTCTACTTTCTGATGATTTTAAGCCAGTGCTGTGATAGGTTCATTTGATTCCCCAAAAGAATCATGCCCCACCAGGTTGAGAATCACAGCTATAAACTGATATAAATAAATAGATGAATAAATAGCATTTAAAAATCGAATGAAATACACAAACTGGCAAACATTGGAAAATAGAAACAAAGAGATTATAGCACTTATGCCATTGAAGAAAATGAAATCTAAAATATGATAGCCAATAATTAATTCTTTTTTTTTTTGATTTCTTGAGACAGGGTTTCTCCGTGGCTTTTGGTTCCTGTCCTGGAACTAGCTCTTCTAGACCAGGCTGGCCTCCAACACACATAGATCCTCCTGCCTCTGCCTCCCGAGTGCTGAGATTAAAGGCGTACGCCATAATAATTGATTTCTTAAAATGATAAAAATGATTGAACTCTTAGTTATACTGACTTTGAAACAGAGTAGGCACTTCCCTGGTAGGGAGAATGCCATTAATAAGAGGATGCATGACTTTGTCCCATGTAAAATGTTAGCTGCTGAGTGCTGTAAGCTGACACATGGAGTTACAGCCATTGCCTGTGTCTCAAACATCTGAGCTGATTAAATGTGTAAACCAGGATTGAACATATCTATCTGCATGGGAGAGTTCACTTATTGGAAACTCCCTCACTTAAATTCTACTTTGTGTGACTTTGTCTCCTAAGAACCAGTAAATCCTTATACCATTAATTCTAGTATCAACTATACTTGTCTACATCACAGTTTAGTAGTGGAGCGCTACTCTACACGCGATAAATCGTTTAAAAGTCGCACGGAATTGACTACAGAGGGATTCCCAAACCTAAATGTTAAAAGTGCAGAACTTCTGAAGACCCAGGAGAGACCAGGAGTCTCCGCATTTGGTGATCTCTCTCTACACGTGACGATATAAACAGGACAGACACCACCATCTGCTGCTTTGGACGCTCTGTCTGTCCGCTGGCTCCTACCCACCACAGGGGCCTCAAGCCTCAGCGGCCGCTCCCCCTAGTTTAGGGACAGCGGCCCCTCTCTCGCCAAGCCCGGCTACTCCTCCCGTCCGTGTAGAGCAACCCCTCACTCACCATGGTGCAGCCGTCGACCTGACAGACTCTCTGCCCACAGAAGAGCTCCAGACACAGTGCTTGAGGGAGCTGAACTGAAAAGGAAGTCGGTTCAGGGAAGAGCCCTCCCATCTGACTGGCAGGTCTGTTGGAGGCTCTGATTGGCTGATGAGGTCTGAGTGACGGGATCAAGTGAGTAGATGGGACTCAGCACCATGGTCCAGGACTGGCTTATACTCTAAAGACAGAATTGCCCCAGATTGGCTGGAAATTTATGCCAAATTCAACAGCAAGTCTCTTGCTAATGTAAATCAATGGGTTCGCTTTTAGAAGGAAGCATACTATTTCAAAAAATTAACTAACATTAAACTAAAGAACCTGGCATAAAAAAAAGAAATGAACTGGTTGGTGGAGGCACAGGGCTGTAACCCCAAAACTCCACGAAGAAGGCAGGCAGGTCTCTGTTCAAGGCCAGACAGCTAGCAATGCTAAACAGAGAAACCCTGTCTCGAGAAAACAAAAATCAAAACAATATTTGAGGATCTGCTTTTGAGCTTCTGCTGGTTAGTATTTATTTATCTGACATATGTGGTGGTGGGAAAGGGATTTCTAAAAGAAATGGTCTGTGTCCTGAAGAGGCTGCAGGATCTGAGAATGAATTCCCATGGCAGACAGCAGCAGTGAACTGGGCTGTGGCTTCAGTCCCTGGAGGAGGAGTAGCAGGAGGAGGAGGAGGAGGAGGAGGAGGGTGGCTAGCGTTGACCTTGAAAATAGGCCCCAGTCAAGTGTTAAAGTCAGGGCCTGAAGTTCCTCAAACGGGACTGAAGGGAGACCCTTGCATATCTAAATGCCTGACTTTGGGGAAAGGACTTGTGGGAAGCAGGCAGCACTTGAAACTAAGGTTTCTTGTCTTATTCTGGACCTGTTCCCAGAAGAATATTTTCTTCCAAAGGGAAGGGCATAATGTCTTACTCTTTTCCCAGGATACCTTCCTACCTACCATTCTTGTTCTGTACTGATTCTTAACTCTAACTGAACTCTTCCAGTATAAATAAATAAAGTAAGCAAATATGTGTTCAGAAGTATGATCGAGTGGACGAACAAACCAACAAACAAGCAAATAAAGAAAAAGGTCAGAGTTGTTAATTGGCTTTTGTTTTGATAATGAAAACTTTTGACATGTGACCTAGAAAGTGTGTGGAAATAACTTTATACTCAATTACCTCTCTCTTCTTTCTCGGTCTGTCTGTCTGTCTGTCTGTCTGTCTGTCTGTCTCTCATACACACACAGAAACACTTGAATAAAATTTAAAATTAAACTAAATATACAATAAAAGGAAGCAAAACACCTTTACTACCATCATCTCATCACTCAGGAGGCAGAGTGAGCTCTGTGAACTCTAAAAGTCATTTTTTCCCAGCAGGGCTATGTAAAGAGATGCCTCGTGTCAATATACAAACTAACTAAGAAACATGGAAGGACAGTGCTGGCTGCTGGGGGAGGTGTACATGACTTATACAGGAGGGGTTTCATGGGATTAAAATGGAAAGTCTTGTCCTTCACAGGCTGCACAGGAAAAACTTCTTTGGTCTTACCAAGGTTCAGAGAGCCATCAGACACAGTGAGGTAAAAAATGGGACACGTCCTGGCGATTCTCAATGGAGGCCTAGCACCTTGTTGTAAAGCAGAGAGGTGGAGGGGGGCACCTATGTGGTGGGCACAGAGGAGCTGGGATGCCCACAGTGGAATTTGCACATTTGTTCCTGTCTTGGGTTGTGCCATGTCAGTCAGTCAAGCTGACACCCACCTGCAGAGAAGAGGAGGGATCCTGTTGGGTGGTGTGGTGGTGGGACTTTCCTTAAATATCAGCACTTGGGAGTTCCAGAACTGATTCTGAGGCTACAGCTAGGAGTCTGGTGTCCTGTGCTCACTTCCCCACAAAGATTTGTGTTTGTGTGCTCCTGAGACATACCCCAATTTAATAGTGCTATTGCCCTATCATAAAGGATGATAGGGCATGTACACACATGCTTGATATCACACACATATACTGCCTGTGTGGCTGCCTGCCTCTGTGAACCCTCTGAGAGTGCCTGGTACCTTCAGAAGACAGAACGCCGCTCTTATTTCAACAGATGGCTGCCCAACGTGTGGACAACTGAATCAACTGAAAGCCTAAGAAAGCTTGGGAAAGAGTAAAGCATGCATGTTTTCTTGGTAGCAACAATTTTTCGGGACTACTCTGCTTGCTAGAGGCAAGCAAGCGCTCTCATCTAAGAGAGGCTTCCTGACTCAGCTTCAGCTTCAAAACCCTGCAGCTCATTAAGAGGTCCTGCCACGAAACACTTAAATGGTGTTGATGAAAAGCTGAACATGCTTTTCGGTTTTCAGCTGTAACAGGAAAAAAGCTGTGCTGTTTAAAAATGCCGGCTTTCTGAGCCGTCCTGCCAGGGCAAACTCTGACTGAGGCAGGAGGGCCGACTACCGAGAGAGGACTTGACTGTTGTCTGTTGTAGCTCGCTGGCTGACAGGGACCTTGAAAGGCCATAGAGTGCTGGCAGTAAACATGGCTACAGCCAGTACCTCAGCCATGAGGCTGGAAAGCTTAGGAATGGACTGGATCTAGCTGACAAGGCCAGGGCTTTAATCCTACTCATATTGCTCAATAATTTAAAGGCTCGTGTGGTCAGAAAAAGAGAGATATACACTAAAGAGATTAAAAGACAAAGAAAAATTTTAAATGATTTACAGTGCTAAAAATGTATGCAGACTAAAAGTTAAAATTCTTAAAGTAAAAAAAAAAGTAAGAAAAAGAGAAGTTG